TCACAGATCTTCCTTTTTTTAAAAAAAAAAAAAGATAGTTGGGGTCCCGCAGTATTCCCAGCATCCCCCAAAGTATTTAAAAGCCTCTTCTTATACTATCCCACCTCTGGAGGAGATAATCTAGTAGTGCCACTGAGGCGTCTGGCTCACAATGTGTTAGCTAGAAGTGGGGTCTTTTCAGTGCCAGCACTCCAGTTACAGGGCTTTCTCCTTGTGCACATACAGTTAGCGTCTTGCTTTGAATATCAGTAGAAAAAAATGCTCCTTCCGTCAGGATCAGACTGCCTTTTAAATAAATTATATTTTAAATTTGCATTTGCGTTTTTAATATATTTATATCATAGGAATTTGATTTTTATTGAAGGGTTTTTGTATTGTTTTGTAGGTTGGCTAGATTGTTCCAGGTTCCCAAAACATAAGCAGGAACTAAATAAGAACATAGACTTGGTCCAATAAAATATCAAAAGTGTTCTGCAAAAGTCAGGGCTTACAAGGCACAATTTTGATTTAACTTGAATTAGATATGCCACATGGCTACTCACCTACCAGTCCAGAAACTGATCATTAATATCCTGAAAAAATGTTTGGCAAAAGTGAATATGAGTTGAATGTTCGTTGGGATTTTCTGGCTAAGCAGTTGTTTTGAACCAGGAATCCAACAGGTTCCTGTCCCTTTCCACACGGCATTTAATTTGGCAAACTGAAGCTGTCTCCTCTATCAGTTTTTCTATTTGTTTTCATTCCATAATCTAGGGGACATCCATGCTAGTTTTTAGTAAACTCCTGATCAGTTCTAACCAGAATCCAATTCTGCTAAACCTTTTAGATGATCCACCAAGGTCAACTAGATAGTTTGCTTTATTTTATTCTTTACAATAATGTCTGCTCAGAAATAAATCAGTGTCAAGTATCCTATTCAGTTGCTGCATCTCTTCTAATATTTCTGTTGTGATTACTCGCATCAGCATGCTAACATGATCAAGAATAAAACAAATACAGCCTTCTCTTCATAATGGATTTTGCTTTAGCGCCTTTTTAAAAGGGTGATCAGACACATTAGGACAGTGGTTCTCAACCCTTTTAATGCCGCGACCCCCAACCGGTCGTAAGTCGAGGACTACTCAACTGGTGCAGCACCGTTTGCAGAATGGGACTTTTGGCGGGCTCAGCAGGGCAGAGACAGCCTGGACAATTCCTATTGGCTTTTGAAAGCCAATAGATTTAGACTCTATTCAAGAGAGTCTATTCTATAGGCTTTCAAAAGCCAATAGAATAAAAGGGAGTAGCACAGCTAAGGAAAAGGGGGAAAAATGGCAGACTGCGTTGTTTGGTGACCCCCGTGAAACGGTCATTCGACCCCAAATGGGGTCCCAACCCACAGGTTGAGAACCACTGCATTAGGATAATCTCAGGCCCATGAGGAATTCAAGAAATAGCATTATCTTCCCATTTGACCAGCAATTTGTCCTGGTATTTAGGCAATATATTACTTAAGGTAGGTATGCTGAAGCTGGATTGTTTGGGCAAAAAATTATAATGATTTTTTGGCTCAGTCCTTTTTGAAACAACACTATTCTCATATTGGATCTCTCTCTCTCTCTTTCTCTCTCTCTCTCTCTCTCTCTCTCCCCCAGACACACACACACACACACACACACACACACACCTCAAACCCAAACTCTGGCTCTGACAGCAGCTGGTCAGATACTCTGAGGGAATCCATAAGCAGACCAAGATGGTGAACGATTTATTCTATTGTTTATCCACAGCACCACATGAGTACCTTTGACCATAGAGGTTTCATAACTAATATGATTGATAAAAAATATATTCTATAAACATGCTTTATAAGTCAATATGTAGATAGTTATTACATTCTCTTGTTCCATGAATATTGCACAATTTCAGCTATGTATTAGTTTGCAGAAGTTATGGAATACCACACATAAGAGAAATAATTATGTTTTTCAGATAACTCCAAGCAAAAAGACTTCCCAGTGATATTTTGCTGCCTGAGGCAAACAATTAAATGGCATTTGCCATGTATCATACCTATAGAAGCTAAATATCCTGCAAGTACATTTTAATTTCAACTCTAGGGATTGGACAGTATCTCTCATTACATCTCATTGCAGTCTAGTCTAGAGCTGCAGCAGGAAAAAACACATGGCCTTCATCGTCCTATTTCCACATAGTCAAGGATCTTGGAATAATATTTTAGGACAATCTTTTCTTCTTCTCCAGTTGCAATTTATTTGGAGATAAATTGTCTCACTAACAGTAAATACTGCTTGCAAAATCAGAATATATACTGCTCAAAAAAAATAAAGGGAACACAAACGTATAGGATCCTATACGTTTGTGTTCCCTTTATTTTTTTGAACAGTATATATTTGCAAGCAGTTTGTCTTCCATAAGTAATAGAAAAAAATTCCCAACTCTCTTATCCATTCAGCAGCCTTCCCAAAATGAGAGGGAGGTAAAATCCAGAGGATAATTCTTCCCATTTTCTTCTGGAAATATTGCAATCCCTGAGTTTATGAACCTTTGCATTCCATAAAGAACATCAGAAGTTCATTGACTAGCTGTATTTAAGGAAGCAAACTATAAATCATAATGTTTCTGCTTTGAATAAAGGCTGATTCCAAGTTTGAAGGTCCCTTGACTCTGGCAGCAGTGAAGACAAATGTCCCTAACAGGACTAGTTGCTGACTCACCATTTTAATTTCCCACAATGTCCCCAACATAGCATTGTGAAGAATTAAAAACGCACCAGACTGCCTAATGCTGATCAAAGCATGGAGCTCCAGTGGGGAAACTTGTTCTAAAGAACAGCTCAGTGCAGGTCTCAGGGTGGGTCCTGCTGGGCCTCAGCAACTTCCCTATGGATGAATGTTACATTTGCTAACAATTCTCCTTCATGAATACAAAAGCTGGCCTAGATAAGTCATTGCTTCTCAGCCATTCCCAATATATTCATGTGAATGTATTAATAATGAGTTATTAGCAGGATATTTGTAAAGATTGTAAACTCAACACACACACACACAGCTAATTCAGTGTAATGGCTTAGATGCTAGAATGGGGAAAGGGAGATGCAGATGTCGTGTCAAGATGCCGACTAACAAACCCAACCAAGCAAACACCTTTGAGTCTCTTCAGGCTCTTAATGCAAAACTTTATTTGAGTACATCATATCAACACATATTAAAGTAAAACCAATTTTGGCAGACACCTTCCCAAACCCCCATAGTAAAAGCATTGACTTTTTCCTCCTTCTTCCAGGTCAAGTCATGTTGCCCATTCAAGTTAGAAACTATTGTTATGAGAAAGCACCTCTAGGTCTAGCCAGGACCTTGCTATTGTCCTTCTTTTAATCTTTGAAGTCCACATTCCAAACGTCTCCCCTTCCCCTTCCCCCCCCCCCAGCTTGTTGGCAAGTTGAGAAGCAATATCTGTTGAACCAGGAAGATGGGGTTTCGAAATTTGACATGTTGCTCATTATAGCAGTTTAGCTAGCACAGGGGTCTGCAACCTTGACAACTTTAAGACTTGTGGACTTCAGCTCCCAGAATTCCTCAGCCAGCATACCAGAAACTGGTTTTCAACAAAAACGCACCACAGTGAACAATTGGCTTGTTTAACAAACTGCAGATTCACCATGGTGAAAAAAAGGCTATAAATTCAAATCGGTCACACGACTTTCTCGATTTACAACGTAATGGGCCTGCCCCATTATGGTCATAAGTCAAGGACTACCAGTACCATTACAGATTGTGGGCAATCAAAGGAACTGGAATCTGAATAGTACAACAAAACTTTAAAAAAAAAAAAAATTAGTCCACGCAGCTCTTTGGAATGAATACGAAGTAAGGTACATCCAGTCGCATGGTACCTAAAGATACTACAGATCCTTGTGGGAATTATACTTTTAAACCCAGTGTTATATCTAATTACACTACAATTCCAGTCCCATTTTTTTAGTTCCTATGTATTCAGCTGTGTTTGCATGCAGGTGTTCGCAGCTATCAAACTGTAGAGCAGTTGCTGGCTGTGGAATTCTGGGAGTTGAAGTCCTCATGCCTTAAAATTGTCAAGTTTGGGAAACACTGCTGTAGAGATACAGTGAAGATGCTTCCCTCTTCTGGACAAAGCTAAGAAAGACTTAAGGCAAAAGAGAAATTAAAAACCAAGCATAAATCCAGCAGTTTTTATGGAAATAATCACATATTTGTTTAAGTTAATGGGAACTAAGTCCAACGAACAGGTATTTTTAAAAAGTCATACAATCTTTGCCCATCGTTTACCACCTTTCAGGGTGTTAAACAGGGTAGGAGACTGAGGAAAAAGTAGAAAGGAATTTCCTTTAAAGAGGATACAGATATTTATTTATTTATTTTGCTCTGTCTTCTTCTGCAAATAATTTCAATATGAATCAAGGGGGGGGGAATCCCTCTTACAGAATTAATGGGTTCCTTTTTTTATCAAGCCAACAGATCACACAAACAGCATTTAGCATAAATAAATCTAGGTTTATACTGAATAATCTATTTTCACCACAAGATGGGACCTCAACTCTAAGCAAGGTCACATGAATCAATGCAGTTGTAAGTTAAATACGACTGCTGCAGTATCAAACAATAAACCATTTTGGCAGGGGTCTATTCTCCAAGCTTGCTATTTAGTTCCCGGATGTTTCATTACCAAACTAGGTAACAAAATCCTGCTGAAGATGTTGAACCCCGCTGAAGATGTTACCTAGTTTGGTAGCAAAATGTCCAGGAGCTAAACAGCAAGTTCAGAGAACAGACCCTTGCCAAAACCTACAACCTGAGCTGCAAATATTCTCAACAATTTCTAATGAACCATTTATTTACTTATTATTTATATTGCTTTTTAATTAATAACAAGAAAAAAGCAAAACACAAAAAGTGATAGTGATACATTGTCAAAGAGAATAAAAGTGCTATAAAAAGTGAAAAAAATATGATATACCAAAAATATGATGTCATTATAACTATGAAGTTACAATTCTATATATACTTGCATCATGCAAATATTATTCAACATAAGCAAACATCGTATTTAAAAATATATTATCAGATCAGATTTAGGCTTTAATTAGCTTTAATGGTGATTTATTACCATTGTTTGCTTCATAAAAGAATAATATTTTAGAAAATTGTTAAAAAAATGAGCAGTATTAAAACATCTGTAAAAACATCAAAGATGGAAATAGGCATGTCAAAACAAGAAAAGTCTTCCAAAGGATCTTTGTACTTCAAAGGTTTTCCAGCCACAAATTGATGTGCTAAAAAATGGCAATGAAAAAGCTAGTGATTGATTTAAAGAAAATCAAACAGATAGAAGCAGTATTCTGAAAGTGTGTACAGTAAAGATGTCAACTTTCAAGATTCCTTAGAAAATATTATCTATTTATAAAAATCTCTAGTACCAGAAGATTGAAGTTGGATCAGCATTTTGGTCACTGCCAATTTGGAAGGCTACGGAAACTGATGGAATTTCTACCAAAATTATAGCAAAAAGCAGAAGAATTTGTAAAGGTTCTAACCAAATTATGTCAGGAAATCTGGAGATTGGCATAGTGGCCAGTAGATTGGAAGAGGTTTGCCTATACACCAATGCCAAATAAAGGAGACTTTCAAGAGTGTACAAACTATCATAAAATATCCTTAATTACACATGCTAGCAAAATAATGCTTAGGATTACTCAATGGAAATATATGCTAAATGTTCAAGCTGGCTTTAGAAAAGGCTGAGTTACTCAAGATATTATTGCTGATGCATGCTGTATAATTGAAAAAGCCAAAGAATACAAAGTCAGTATATGCTTCATTGACTATAGACAGGCCTTCAATTGTGTCGATCGCATAAAACTGTGAAAAGTGCTTAGAAAAATGGGAAGTCCAGAACATTTTATTGTTCTAATGTTATGCATAGGTAAAGAAACCAGACAGATCTTAGTGAAACAAACTGGCTGCAGATTAGCAAAGGAGTAAAACAAAGCTGCATATACCTCTTATTTATTTAATGTACATGCTGAATATATAGTGAGGGAAGCTGGGTTAGAAGAAAATGAATATATTTTCAAAAATTGGAGGGAGAAATACGGGTTGCCAATGCCACTGCTGATCAGGCTGCTCTGATAGCCAAAAATGTAAATGACCTGACAGAACTAAGATTAACTATACAGAATATCAAGTTACAGCATTCATTAGTTACAGCTATGTTGTCATTAGGTCCAGCAATCAGACTTAAAAATCAACAATAAAGATGCTGAAGTATTGGACAGCTTCTACCTTTTACGGTCAGTTGTCAACAGTACTGCCTTTTAGGAACCAGCAGTCAAGAAACATGCCACATACTAGCAATTATTAGAGTAGCAATGAAGGTCTAGGAAAAAATATTATACGTCATGAAGTGTTTTTACTGAGAAAGATCAGAATTATGCAAACAATTGTTTTCCATCTGGTACTCTATGGAAATAAAAACTGGACTTTGAAAAAAGGGTGACAGAAAGAGTACTGATGCTTTTGAACATTTGGTGCTGGAGAGAACTCCTGAGAATACCACGGATCGCCAAGGCAAACAAATCAATCTCAAATCCTCATTCAAGGTATAAATGACCAGGCTCAAATGACCATATGTTGCGATATATTATGTGTAGAGTTGCTTCGAACTGAGATGGGAGGCAAACAAATCTAATGAGGAAATAAATTAGCTTTCTTGAGAAGTCCATACTGCTGGGAAAGGGGAAACAAAAGAGAAAAAAAGATGATTAATAGCAAAATAGATGAATTCAGTTGCAACAGTGATGGATACACCATTGAAAGACTTGAAGAACCAAGTTGTGGACAATTATTCTGGAGGAAAGCTATCTATGTGGTTATTAAGAATAAAAATCTTAGTAGTACACTAAGACTCAATAGCATAAAATCAATCAATTAATCAGTACGTTTAGAGCAGGGGTAGGCAACCTTGGCTCTTTTATGACTCGTGGACTTCAACTCCCGGAATTCCTCAGCCATGCCATGCTGGCTCAGGAATTCTGGGAGTTGAAGTCCATGAGTCATAAAAGAGCCAAGGTTGCCTACCCCTGGTTTAGAGGAACCCCTTGATTTACAAAAATGCAAAGTAACTTTATTTTAAAAGTAAACTTTAACAATGGAGAGAGAATGGAATCAATTGAAATCTCCTGGAAATAACAATGTTCCATGTTGAAGACTGCACTAATACACAATGTTTCAGAATGTGATTGAAATAAAAATAGCATTTGTGCCATATGTGTGGCCATACAACATGTCCTATTTCACAGTGGACTGTTGTCAATTGAATATTTATTGATCTAATTTATTTTTCCAAGGATACTCATTGATGTCCTCAACTTAAAGGAAAGTTTAGTGCAAATCTAATTTAAAGATCAAGAAATCAGAAAGGCAATCAGTGGCCTTCATGTAGCCAATCAAGAGATAGCAAGTTTAGTAAGTTTATGGGGAAGCCATAAGTCATAGTCTGGAAGTTGAGTCATAACAACTGGATTTCTTTTCTTGTTGGTTCAAAATGTTTTGTTGCTTATCCAAGTGACTTCTTCAGACTTTCCAGTTGCTATGACTCAACTTCCAGACAACTCTACCTGGGTGACTGACAATCTTCACTGACACATCAATCATAGTCTTTGGAGCAATATAGTATACGGCAATCTGAAGTGTAGCAATTATTTCTAAATCTTATTTTACAGTGCTTTTACCTTTCTTTAGGAGACAACTAAGCAGGCAGAGAAACAGACAACGAAACCCTTTATTTAAGAAACATGAAAGTAGCCTTTCAGCAGACAATAGTTTCCATGGAGTTTTGAAGTACATCTTACAAATACCTGGCTTCTCAGCTTCTAAATCAGGAGAAAACTATCCTCCAGAATCATTCTAAGATTATCACATTTCCTAGAAAATTGGACTCCGTCCCTTTTTTTAAACTTTATCAGAAGACGTTAGAAAATACTTGCAGAGCAATGTCCTTTGTATATCTATATCTCAGATTTAACCAGATCAGAGGCATTTACTGAAAACTGCATTGTACTTTTATGGACCTTCAAAATCTATTGTATCAATGATTTGTGAGTCCACAGAATTAATTATTGCTCATGAAAAAAAATGAAAAGTAGTCATAGACAGCTCAAGTGACTGCTTTAAGAGAGATCTTATATAAGAGAACGCTATGCACCTTTTCACTCCAAAAGATTTGTCAGTCTAGTTGGGTTTTCTTAATATTCTAGGGTTTTGTTAGTTAAGCTACATAATTACATTGTTATTTCTTTGCACATTTTTTTGTTGCAGTTGCGCTGTATTCATACATTGCTCCAAAGACTTATTTCAATTTGGATCACTAAGCATAATGGAGCTTGTAATCTTAAGGGCTTTACGAACCCATCATTTCTTCATCTGCATAATATTGACCATAAAAATATCATGGCAATGTGAAATTGGCTGAGATTAATAAACTGTGCAAATTGCAGAAATATTGCACATTGTAGAAATATTGTGATAAAGACTGTATTTACATAGGGACTTGCTGAGAGCCTTTTTGCATCCGTATTAGCTCACAGAGAATTTTTTAACAGTTGAGTCATTTCAAATGGACGTGTTTGATATTCAGGTTCCCACTCATTGATGCATTTATTGAATGCTGATCATTAATGGGTTTAAATGTTGCTCAAGATAACTTTGAAAGGTGATTTGATTTTGTCTTTTTCTTGCATGGTTTTTGTTTATTAATTGTCCATTGTTTTTATTACCCTGTGGGTGACAGCTATGAGTAATTATTTTAAATAAAATTATAATTGATTGTGAAAGGCACAAATACACTATGAAAATCGGAATAAGAAGCCACCAACTGGTCAAAGCACATTGTACCACCATACCTGTGAGTTGCAGCAAAGCACTGTCATCATTTCTTCAAGTCATTCCAGGCTCAAGGGCAGCTCTACCTTTTGCTGAAAAACACAGTTTGGGGCAAAATTTTTAATAAGATGGATCACTTCCCTTCTGAAAAGAGGAAGAACATGCTATATTTTTATAGACATCCATCTGAGCACCAGAGCACGTGAAGGCAGAAGACATGACATGAAAATTATGAAAGGTTGGATTGCAAAATAGCACAATCACCAAGCATTCCAATAAACCCAGTGCACTTGCAATGTTTGAAGGGAGCAGCACATACCAGCAGTAGCAGCTCCTGAACTGAATTTTACTTTTCTGATTTTGTACAGTAGATAAATGATTGGTCAACTATACTATTTAACTTTATTGTTAACATTCCACTTCAAGTGAGGATAACAAGGCTGCTGAATAAAAGTTTATTTGCATCACTCTATCCAAAACTATCTCCAAAACGCTTCCATAACTGAGAACAGGGACTAGATCACCCTGTGAAATACTCTTTTGCTCTGTTAAGTATTGCATTTCTCCCTTCTTCTACCTATAGAATGCCAAGAGCTTTCAAAAAATGCATTACCATGCAAATATCTTGGGTCCCTTTACTACACATTTATATTGCAGGGTAATCAATAAATTATTGTTTCAATATTTATTGGAATCCCAGAATAAGAAAGAAGACAGATTACACAAATCCATCTTGGTTGATTAATGGTTCCTTTAGCAACAGGCATACGCTGATGGAGTGGGCCAGTATGCAGACTATATTACTGAATATTTCAGCTGGGTTGTAAATATAGTATCTGTTTCTCTTAGGGACTGTCACACTGAGTGCAGTATAAAAGGCTATAAATTCCAACAGATTAATTAACTCTTTGGTTACTGGGCTGCGTGTCACCTATCCTGGCACCTAATAAAAAATCCTTTAATGCCACGACATAAAGAAGGGCCTTTTTGGAAATGAGTTATTAACAGCATTTTGTGAATAGATGGAGAAACTGTAGCCCAGCCATTTAAGTGTCATAAAGTGCAGCAAAGGCTGCTGGAGGCCTCAGAGGGATGCCCAGCAATACCATAACAATCAAATCTGAGATGGAAGAGGGATTGAGCTGTCCACTCAGAATTTTTATATTGTCAAAGAGCAGCAAAGAAATAATGTGATCAAGAAGTGAATTAACCTTGTGTGTGGAAAGAAAGGGGGATGATCTGATGGAAAAGGCAGTAAAGTAAAAATCACTCCATAACATCGACGTTGCAAGACAGTCATGAGGGACTTCTAATGTCTGCAGGCTGTCAGAGAAGAGATCCAGTCCTCTAAGTACCATAAAACCATTATCTACATCAGGGGACAATTGGCATCCATTCATTCATGCTTTATAAAATGCTTAGGGGATTCTGCTGTTGTACACCAATCACAGATTAATTTCCACAAGCGGTTCGTCTTCAACGCCCATGAAAGATTATAGGAGGCATTCTATGTATGGCAATTAATATTCTATGATGAATGAAAGAATTATGTGCCACACCAAATGGTGAATTCATTAGGCCCTCACATCACAGTTTTAATCTAATGTTCTAGCCTTCATTGTTTATCCCTTCCAACCCATGTGCACTATGTGCCAGTAATACCTAAAGGGCCATGGCTATTACTTTGATAAATTTGCATGGAAGAGTTGGAACAATGCAACAGATATCAACCTCATAAAGTAGCTTTCATTTGGGTACTTCTGTAAAACAACTGTAATGAAGTCATTACATTATTAAAGAAATACTACTAATGAAAAATTATTCCATTAATTTCTTTTGGGATACAGTCTAAATCAAGAATAATCCTAGGCAACCTTGGCTCTTTTATGACTCGTGGACTTCAACTCCCAGAATTCCTGAGCTGGCTGGAGTTGAAGTCCACGAGTCATAAAAGAGCCAGGGTTGCCTTTCCCTGGTTTAGAAGTATTGCCTCAGATTGTTGCTTTTTTTTATCTTCTTGTACTCTCAATCAATAAAGCACTTTTTCTCTCTCTCTCCACACATACACACACACATTCGTTACAACTATGGATCAATCAGTGGATTGTTCAACCCTTTGTTATCCTTTATTATTATTACTATTATTTTAAAAATCATTTGTTCCATGGGGCAAAAATACTCAATTTTTAAAATTCTCCAGGCCCTGTCACTGAATCAGAAAAGGCTATTTCTAGAACAGCCCACACAGCACCAAGTCATAGAATCCCCAAAGGACCTTGATGTTATCACATGACATTGAGTAGGTGTGAAAGTTAGAAATGTACAGTGCTTAAACTCTGATGTGCTTGTGGGCGTAGGCATCAAGGTTGCACCTGCCAGAACCTTCTCAAGGAATCTGTCCTTTACTGGTCTCACAAATGCAATTCTGCAAAAGATACATATTTAAAGAAAGAGGGGTATATAGTGCATCCACACCCCATTCCAAAGCACCTTTCCATCTTTGGATGAAAGAGATATACACCCCTAGAGAAACTCTTAAGAAAATATATATTTTGGGTATAGAACAGTGGATGAATGGAATGCCCCTTTAGTGTTAACCTTAGAGAAGGTAGATCTACGGCCCTTTCTAAGGAGACCCTATGCTGTCACCTGAGTTACACTGGAGAAGGAGGAAAGCCAGTTATCTTATTCTAGGTATTGTGTATGCATTCTTAAAGTTCTTGTATAGGCTCCTGTCTCAGTAGAGAGGTGGAAACATTCACCATTTTGTTAACACATCTAACTCTGTTGGATCAAAATGTTCAAAATGAGTATGTAATCTGAATTTTTTTTACCTTTATTAAGAATGTCCAGAAAGGACATTTATCTACATTTCTGAATAAATAATATTTCCTCCTATTACTGCCCCCAAATCAAATAACTAGAAAGAAATTGGTTAGGGGATTCAAAAGAAGTGTGCAATGTAAATTTTCCAAGACTCCACAAATAATTAATCATTTACAGATAAGTGGAAAACTAATACTGATTATGTTGTTTTATTCTGGATAGGCTGAAATTCTTGCTCAGCTCCTTTCATACCTATTTTTTTAAGGATCAATCTAAATTTTCATGCACCCACATATCATCCCTTTGTTTCCATCCACTCTTTTTCTCGGGCCCTAACATTTGAGTAAATGAACATGTTGAAACTGTTTACTGTTTTCTCTAATCATACAAATCAATTTTGGATGACAGTCCATATTTTGATGTTGCAAGCAAGTAATTGGGGGGGGGGGAGGTAAAGAAAGTCAATCAATCATTCTGCCCAGTGCTTTTTTTCTTAAAAAAAAAAAAAGGTGCCGGAACTCACACACACCATACAACCCACCTTGCCTACCCTACAAGGTTCCATCCAAAAAAGGTGCCAGAACTCCGTTCTGGGCGTTCCATGAGAAAAAAAGCCCTGATTCTGCCAATCAAAGAGTAGCAATGGACAGGTGGGGGAGAAGGAGAGGAGACAAGATGGCTGCCTGGGAACTCTGCCACCATGGGCTTTATAAAGGAGAGGCTGAAAAAAGAGACCAAAATCCAGGAGTAAAAATGAAAAGGCAAAATAAAAGATAGACTGCCCTGATGAAAACAGGCCACCAGAAAAAAAAGACAACAAGAAAGGAAACTTGGGAGTGAGGAACACTTATTTCCTTCGCTCAAACCTGGCATCAGGGAAAAAGTTCTTCAAATCACTTCCCTGAATTAGACCAAAGATTTGAAATAGAAAAATCAAGAAACTCAGCAAGGAACAAACAATGAGAAAAAATGAACAGAAACTTTAAAAAAAGATAAAAAGGCAGATCAAACTCTGTACAAAAAGGACTACAGTTCCATAGAGAGTGCCAACAGAGATGAACAGGGATTAAGACAGCAAAAATTTAAAAGTCAGCAATATATACTGCATGAAGTATAGAATAAAAAATATGAAAATACAGTGAAATTGGACTTTGAAGAATACAACATAATCAGCTTATAGAAAAGTCAATTTAATAAAGTTTTATTAACATTAATTTCTGTATTAGTTGAAGGCATTTGTAATTTACAATTCCTTTTTTATGTGCAGGCTTTTCTTTTCTAAAGTCAAGTCTCCTGCCCCCTTACCTGCAAGTCACTAAGAGAGATTTAAAAAAACAAAACAAAAAAACCAACCACCCAACTTTCCAGGGCTTTTTGTCTACTGAGTCTGAGTAAATCTGATTATTGACAGTTCAAAAACAGAACCCACAAATCATTGCCATCATCTTGACTTTTTTGACTCCTTGCGGACACTCCTGCTTTGTAAAACCAGTAATTGCTGGCCTTAAAATGCCCTTATATGTTCTAATTAAGAGAAAAATGAAGGTTTGGGGGGGCTTAGACCTATATACCAGGGGTGGTGGGGAGAAGTGATGGCAATGAATACAAGCAAAAATAAATTTGTGTCATGTGGAGAAGACACTGTGGTGTGGTAAGTACTATCTGGCTGACCTTAACTGCTATAAAGGAACAGACTTGATTAATATTTGGACAGAAAACTATTGGAGAATTCTATGATTGTAAGCTAAAGAGAATTTCAAAAAAAAAAATCTAGAAGGAAGTAGCAACTTCAATTATATATTTGCCAAGGAAACTGCATAGATGTGGCCATGTAATCACCATGAGTCAATGTTCTCTATATTTTATTAGTTTTAAAACATATTCTTCTGTCACAAAATATTAGCAAGCTTATAAAAGCTTATTTATTGTGTTATATTTCTTCTGACTAAACACAAATACTGTATAAATTAATAGACATTATTTTTGCTTGTTTAGTCATAAATATAACGCATTGCTTTTGAATGCACTTTTGAATGACTTAATTCCCACCAGCAAAACCTGTTTTCCACAACAAGAGAGGTGAATAGAATGCATTGACCCAAAATATTGACTAATGCAGCAAGAAGGAACGACTGAAATGTAAAAACCACATCAACATTTCTTCAAGACAAAGTAAAGGAAGGAGGTGAGTTTTAAAAATCTAGAAATCATATCCTTTATAAACAATTGTAAAATTATCTTTACACAAACTAAAAAAAACTTTTCACAAATCAAGACAGGAACTCTGCTTATTTATTCTTCTTTGCCAGTCTGCCCTTTTCTGTTTCCGAATAAGAAATTCCTATTTTCTTCTACAGAAAGTCCTCAAATTGCAACGTCAATTGGAACCTAACTAGTCAGTGGGGAAGCTGGTAGGAAGTTGCAAGTCTCAGCTTGGCAGGCAGGTAAGTGGCTGTTGCCAGGTGGGACAGAGAACAAAGGGATGTGCAAGGATGGGCCAAACAGGATGCACAAGGTGAGTGAGGGATGGTCGGGAAGGGTGTGCAAGGATTCAAGAGAGAGGGCTGGGAGTGCATGAAGTTGCAATGGAGGCATGGATTCAGGGACGATGCACAAGAAGCCTCACCCAGATCAGAAAGACTGCACAAGTATCTGGCACAGGCAGAGAGTCAGGTTGCATAGATGGGGGAGACTTATCCCAGCAACTAGCCACCTTCCCTGCTGGCTTCCCCACTGACTTTCTGGGGAAGCTAGCAAGGAAGCTTGCAAAGAGTGATCATGTGATCACAGGAATTGTAACGGGTCATGTGAATCAATTGCCAAAGGCCCAGATCATGATTGTGTGACCAAAGGGGTGGTGGGACAGCTGGAATTCCAAGGACTGGCTATAACCACTTTCATCTAGTACTGTCATGACATTGAATGCTCACTGGATGAATGATCAAGGTCAAGGAGAAAATTTAGGGAGCAGTTTTGGAAAGATGATGCAAGAAACCTTCCATTGGAAACAGCTTTATTCTCTGAATCAGGTTTTTAAAAGAGTAGTTGTAGATTTTTTTTTTAATCTGAAGTCGCAATGTTAACATTTGTAGCAAAAAAATAATAATAATCTTCCTCCCTGCACTCCCTACTCTGTTATTTTATATAAGCAGTAGTATATTTTATTTTGATACAGTAATTGGAAAACTGCCCCCATTTGAAAGCTCTAGAGCACTCTAGTGCCCAAACTTCAACCCAAAACCCACTTATGTATTGTCAGCTGATGGGTAGGCATGGGCGCTGGGTGGGTGTGGCCTGCCAAGTGGGTGTGGCTAGTGGTCATGGCAGACGGGTAGGTGTGGCCAACTCGATGTTGCTCCAGGGGAGGGACACCTGTGGGGGCCAGGCAGGGCTGGGGGAGATCCAGGGGGTCTATGGCAGGTGGGACAGTGGGCAACAGGCTGGTCCTGCGTGGTGAACCGAGGCAAGGCGAGGCAGGGCAAGAGTGCCATTGTCGCAGGGCGATGCGGGGCCTGGTACCATCGGCCCCCACACACAGAGGCCAGCAAGCACATGGGTGCTAGGATGCATCCGGCCACGTGGGACCTCGGCGAGTTAATGGACGGCTGGTTGAAGAGGACAGTTGCCATCTCTGGGGCATGGCACGGGTGCCCACAGAGAGGGCTCTGAGTGCCGCCTCTGGCATGCGTGCCATAGGTTCACCACCACTGCTCTAGAGCAACACATGTTTACTAACATATGTGGAGGGATTTGTTTCCAGTGGGATAACACAATCTGTATCACTCTGAACACAAAACCAATCCTGTCCTCACACTGGAAACCTACCTAGAGCCTAGAGTTGGAGAAATGGGTGGCATACAATTCTTATAAACAATAATTTTAAGGGAGGGTATGAATGAAATTGTAATTTTTTTCCAGGCTTCTATAATTGCGTTAGGACTAACATATTGGATTATTGTACATTGCTCCTTTTGTTACTGTTGTCTCTAGAGGAATGGTTCTTTTTAGTTTTAATTTTTTTTTCCTGTATGTTCTGCTTTTGTTTTTCACAACATTGTGGGAATTTCTAAGTACAAATGCTAGAATAAATGTTTGAATAAATGCAAACAAAAATATTTGACTTGATATATCTTTAAATACATATCTCAGAGTTTTGGAGTCCGAAATGAGAGAAATTCCTGTCTTTGGCCACCATTCGTTAGTTCATTAAACCATATACTGTTTTGAAAGAAGAAATATTTTAGTACTACAGCTTTACTAAGAGAAAAATGTTAAATTTTGAGTGTTTGCTACCTGTTATGGCTTCTATATATTTAATCTATGAAAACCTTTTTTTCTCTTATTCAGCAGCCAAAAAATAAGTTGGCATCCTTAGTGGATAAACTGTTAAAAATTTAAAAATATTCAAGCTGACAATCTATGGATAAAATAATGAAAATAAATGAGATAGATGAACTGTCTCTATATTACCATGAGAACATCATGGAAATGTTGTAAATAATTAGGGATGTCCAATTAAATCTTACCCATTTGATCATGTACAATTATGTCAATCAAATGATTAAAGCAACATTAATTATTGTTTCCCGTGAGTCAATTTGCACAATTGGTACTATATATAAAAGATACGAAGATAAGCAGAAGGGCATCAAACCTATCTTCTTTTGAATTTCCTATCTGAGATCTATAAGCGAAGATCAAGGCAGCAAAGCATGCAGTATACCCAGTAAATTCCACAGATATTATCTATAATAATTACAGATACTGAAGACAAGTCACACAAGTATTATGAATGAATGGGCGAATCACTGGAAGCCTGTAGCGCTGGCTGCAGCTGCTGCCATTCCTTTCCCCACCTCCCGAAAGACAAGATCGCGGTTTGCGGCAGCCGCAAGATCGATCCACTTCGGTCGCCCAGAAGGAAGCGAACCAGCCAAAGGCGCACCGGCTCCAAACTTCCAGGCCAAGCCGAGCAAACGCCGAGTCACAGATGTCGGAGGTGGGTAGTTCGATGAGCTCCGCGCTCCCCGCCATTTTGGGCGCTTGAGGGGGGAGTGAAGTGGTGGCGGCGGCCGGAGCGTTCCGCCTTGTCCCGGCTGTCTCCTCTGCCTCCTCCTCCTCCTCCTCCTCTTCTTCTTCCTCCTCCTCCTCCCCCTTTCCTGATTGTGGCCAAACCGTCTCTCCGGACTCAGGTACTAACGCCTCCTGTCCCAGGCTTGATCATAGGGGAGGGATAGTTGCGGTGCAGCTTCTTGCGTGGCGGATCTTCCCGGCAGCCGGGAAGAGTAGGGCGAGGCTGGGCTACGCCGGCAAAGGGGGCTTCTTGCCACTTCGCCCTATCCGGTCCCTGATGACAGCTCCATCGCTTGACTGTGGTGCATTTTCATTCCCTTTTTCTTCCGGCTTTGCTCCTTCAAGCTGAGTGAAGCCTATTCTTCCCTCACCATCAGTCTTTATTTTTTTCTCTGGGTTGATGCACTCCAAATCCCGCGTCCCGTTGCAGCAACCTATTTCGGAGGATGGGAGGGCGAGAAGAAAGATAAATGCAGCTTCCACACTTAGTAAGAATGCAGACTGGTGCCCAGCTTTTCATAACGGATATTGCTTTTACCTGTTGGGGCGGCTCAGAAAAGTTTTTTATTTTGTTTTTTTGTTTTTTCAAAATAGCTGCATCTGTACAGCGAGGGAAGGAAGAAGAGAGCTCGGGGTTAAGGACTGCTTTAAGCCACCTGTGGCTGGGTGGATGGCAAGGAAACTGCTAAGGGTTGCTTATTGGCAGCTCTTTAACAATTGAACTCCTAAATACAGGTCATCCTAGACTTAGGACCACAGTTGAGCCCAACATTTATGTTGTTAAGTGAGTTTTGCCCCATATTACGACTTTTCTTGCCATGTTTGTGAAGTGAATCACTGTGGTGGTGAAGTTAGTAACAAGGTTGTTAAGTGAATCTAGCTTCCCTATTGACTTCGCTTGTCAAAAGGCTGCAAAAAGTGATCACGTGACGCCGGGACCCTGCAACCATCATAAATATGAACCAGTTGTCAAGCATCCAAATGTAAATCACATGACCATGGGGGATGCTACAAGGAACATAAATGTGAAAAATGGTTATAGGTCCCTTTTTTGGTGCCATTGTAACTTTGAACGGTCAGTAAATGAACTGTTGTAAATTGAGGACTACTTGTAAAGATGGAGAGTCAAGATAGGCTATTAGATGTTAGTTGAAGAGAAAAGTGACATGAGCCTTCAAAATTACCTCCAGATGAACAGAGCTGAATGGCTGCCTCACTCTCTGTCAGTGAACAGGCATAACTGACCTGGTGGCACATGAGTATTTGGTACCGTACTTTACTGACATAAAATATGACCTTTCAGAAGTTCTGGTTAAATGTTACTGTTTGTGCTCCACACATATTTTTCTATTTCAGTTTTTCACAGCTAGTTTTTCACAGAGTGGACACATTTCCCTTCTCCTTTTAGGAACTCTAAAAACAACATGAACCTTAGAGATTTCTTGCCATTTTGATATGAGAAACATTCAGAGATTGTAAGGAAGATCCTAAAACAGGCTTAACATATTCTTGATTTATAAAATGTATAAGATTATAAATAGCCTTACTCCATAAACTCTAGACAATGTGCAAAATAAGTTAGGATTAGAACAGCAATACTGTTAAAAAAATAAATGGAACAATAAATAATAACAAAATTGTATTTCCATCTTAATGCAGTTCTTTCTGTAGGTGCTTAATCTTCAGAGAAATGCCCCATTCTCATCATCACCTACCTGCTGCAGACATATTTGACACACAACACATTTTAAAGGCAATCTCATCTATCAAAAGTTTGTTTTTTCTATATGGTAAACTTTTAGGAGAGTAATAAACAAAATATATTCGCTCCAAAAACAACCTGTAAATTGATAAGATATAAATATATCCATTAAATTTAAATTATATATATATATATATATATATATATATATATATATATATATATATATATATATATATATGTAGGTCTTTGGTTAATTAATTAAGAATTAATGCTTAATTCAGTCTAATTTACCAAAGAGATATTTAAGTATTACTGCGTTTTATGCTTCTGGGAAACTGATTTGCAAGCGTCTGATTGCTCTCGAGGCAGATAAATAGGATAAACTATGCAAGAGAAACAAAAAAACAACAATTACCAGAAACCTAACTAGACATCAATTAAACCCAGTTTCAAACATTTGATATGGAATTGATAACTTAATTCCCTGCCACCTCTTATTTCCCACGTTCTTGCAGGCCAAAAACACTTTTTAGCCAAAAGCTTCCTAAATGTTCCTATTAGCAATTCAGTTAACAGGGAGCTAGGAAATAATTTTTATTTGCCTGGATGTAATAGCAAATATTTCTTTAGTCTGTTAGCAAGTTTCTACTATGGTATCAATTTCTGTTAACTGGGCTTTATTTAATGGTTAGCATACATTTACCTAAAGAAACTTTTCCTTAATAAATAGCAATTCTTCCCAAATAGTTTATATATGTAATTATACATCAGTTGGCTGCTATTGCCAATTAAAGGAAGAACATTTTTCTGCAACTTTGCACTGTAAGGAGACTCATACAAAATGCTATAAATGTAATTAATACTAATTCTGTCAGGTTTTTTTTCCTGTGCTTTCCCTTTTTCTATTTTTTTTTAAGTATTTCCCTAGCAAATTATACCTTCTGTTCAGATTTTTGCAGAACATGTTTTTCTAATGTTCCATAATGAATTCTTTTCTTAGCAAGTTGTGTAATTAATATCTACAAATTAATGCACCTCAATGAAAGACCACGTGTTTTAGCTAGTCTTTTTAATGCTTTTCAAAAAATATATTTTCTTTAAAAACTTGGCGTCAAAAAAAAACTAAACATGAGACAAATTGAGCAGGACTCTACAGGTAATGTCCAGATGTTACAACTTTGAATAGCCCTAGCATCTAATGATGAAGAATCCTGGAAACGTCCTTGTCCACAGAAGGGGGAGGGGAGGTGACAAGTAGAAAATATCTCTCTTTCTCTCTCTCTTATAGCTGCCCATCTCACAAGCAATTCTGGGAGGCATACAACAAGACTATAAGAGTATGTAAAATAATTATCAATAACAAAAAATAAAACACTTAAAATATATAAAGAGTTAAAACAAAATAGGCAAAGGGATCTAATAGTAATGGAGCTATCTCATCAGTTCTCCCTTTCCCTGAGGTCCCTAGGTCAGTGATGACGAACCTTTTAGAGACCGAGTGCTCAAACTGCAATCCAAAACCCACTTATGCATCGTCGGGTGCCGGGTGAGTGTGGCCCATTGGGTGGGCGTGGCTGCAGTGGTAACAGCAGACTGGGTGGGACTAAAAAGTTCAATCAATCAATTCCAACTTTGCAAGATCTTTTTTTTCCCCGCGAAAAGTTTAAATTGACTGATTGATTAAACCTTTTTTTTTGTACACGGCAGCTGAGGCCTAAAGCGAAAAGGTTTCATAAAACCCAGCTGAAAGCCTAGGACTGGGCGATGGTGCACGTGCCCACAGAGAGGGCTCTGAGTGCCGCCTGTGGCACTCGTGCCATAGGTTCGCCATCACTTCCCTAGGCCTTCTGACATAACAGGTCTTAAGAGACCTGTGGGAGCCTAGAAGCAATGTATCATGAAGTTGTGACATGATTCATCACTTTGGCATCAGAGGGACTAACTTGGAATGTCTTTGGCTAGAAGCTGTAGTTCAACAATAGCTGGAAGGCTATAGCTTCCCTAATAGAGAAATTCAAGTAATTGTCTTGTTTCTTATTTATTTATACAATATGCATATATGTATATACATATGTACATGTATATGTAGAGTCATTCCTAGCATTGCATTTAAAAATGGTGAATTTTGTCTACATTTTGTAATTCTATAGAAAGAAGAGATTCATTGTTACTGATGCCACATGAACACATCTGTTACTATATAGAAAAAAAAAATGTTTGGAACAACTTTTTATCCTGTAAAGCCTGACTCCAATCCATTATCTTACCCTATGGCAGAATTCTTACAGAAGCTTCCACACATTTGTACTTCATGTTAACTCTTGAGAAAAAAAATCTTGAAATGATGTTATATAAAATGCATAATGTGCAATGTGAAAATGCATCTGGTTTAACACAATTAATCTGTGGGGTCCTTGGTCCTCCCTGAGATTGGTTGTTTTCTTGCAGACATTTCATTATGAAACTAGGTAACAGCACTTAGAAGGGTGTGGGTTATAAAAAGAGAGCAAACTCCACTCCCTTCTAGCACTGATGATGTTACCTAGTTTGGTAATGAAACATCTGCAAGTAAATAACCAAACTCGGAGAGCACCAAGGACCCCACAATTCAATCCTGAGCTACAAATATCTTTTCTATTGGCATAGATTAGTTTGTGCCTTCAATTGCTCTGCCAGTAAAAATAACTTTAATCAAACTTGAGTTCAAATCATAGCCTCATAGATTTAGATTCAGACTTGCCACTGGACAGAGGGACTCTAATTCAGTAGAGGATCTTCAGGTATAGGAAGGGTCATAATTGTGATGACTGCCTTTTCTTTCTACATTTTTCTTTCCCGTAATGACATCTTAGAGAATTCCAGAGCTCTGGGAACAACATACTGGTGATAAGCTCTTTTCTTAATGTGGAAGATGGAATGTAAAAATCTTGTCACTAGCTTTATATCTGCCAGATTTTTGGTGAATTCAAATTGCAAGCATTCTAAAATAAAAATAAAAACAGATGCACTAAGTATAATTGCAATTTCAAATTTATTAATTCAATTCTCCTTATCCTCTATTTGTCCATAAACATACACTTGTATACAAGTACCTACAGATGAATATGGACTTAACATATTTTTTTAAAAAAATCAACAAATTGCAATCCTAAATTTAATGCCTTGGGAAAACTTCTTACATAACTCAATGAAGCTTACATCCTAATAAATGCAGCAAAGGT